ATTAAATTTTTATATTTACTTCTGCTGAATTATAAATTATGAGAACCACTAACTTTGTTAATGACAATTATCACCACACATACTGACCAGTTTCAGGTCAGGTCCTTAAGAGTCCTGCTGACTGTCACCTGCTCCTTTCAGAAAACAATAGCAACACCCATCCCCTCCTGAAAAATAATAAGAAACAGGTAAAAAATATATACTGTTTACACAGTAAAGATAAATTTCCATATATATGCATATATTTTTATCTCTCTGTGTAGGTTTTTAATTTCTCTCCCTCTACCCACAGCTTCAGTGGCACACAGCCCTGGAGCACACATTAGGGTTTTTTGCAAGCCTTTTCCAGAAACTCCTGCCTACCAGATCAGTCCTGTGCACAGGAAATACAGTCATTTCATACTTCACACTCACGTGGCAAATGTAGAAAGTAAAACCCCGATGAACAAATGCAGATGCTGTGAATGACAAGGAAGAGCTACAAATGGTGAAGAAAAAAAACAACTGAATGTTGCTAGGCTAAGCAAGAAAGAGTAACTATTATCTTAGACTCAAAGGAGGAAAAACTAAGCTAGTGTAAAGATACAAGCACATGTAGTACTTGAGTAAACATCTCCTATTACCATTAAAAGAAACTGAACTACCAGCTTTTTTCTGTTTAGAGAAAATATATAGCAAAAGGTCCCATCTCTGCAGGCTTTCTTCATGTAAAGAGACGTATTTGATAGCTTCATTTTTTAAAGCTGATAACTACAATGTTCAACTTAATTTGCTACCTTGCTGAGGACAGTTTTCTGAGCAGTAAATCTATCAGTTACTCTATCAGCTAAATCTAGAAAGATCCTTTCCCAGCATTAAGAGAAAAACAACATGACAAGTATAAGAAGAAACATGTTTCAGCTCCTTATGACTACCCATGATAGAAGCTTAAGGCAGCCCCACAAGTAACAGAAGGTTGTGTATTGGTATGCAAGCAAGTGAAGGATAATCTCTTTGAGCAGATGTACTCTAGTCTTTATCCGCATTGACTGGAATCTAGTGGTCAGCTTGCTGTTTTGCTGCTTACTAGAAAAAAAAATTATTTTAGTTGCATTTAGATGTTAGAAAATACCAAAGAAAAGTTTTATCACTTTCAACACGAGCATTGTTTGTTTATAAGTGATCATCTTAAAGCAGGCTGAGGTATTTTCCTCATAATCATGCTGAATTGCTCAATTATTACCATGCTTTTTTCATACCCTTATCTCCCTTGTCACACTAAACAGCATCTAAGCAATTAATCCTTTTAAGAGTGTGCAGTCTGAAAAAGTTTCAGAAGAAAGTCGAGGTAATGGGGTAGAGCAGTCGTGAGAAACATTTTGACTGGTAACTCATCCTGTAAATGTATGCACATGATACATTCTCCTCTTGGAACTGATAAGGGGTTCTAGGACTTCACATCTGTGATAGCAACAGCAAAACAGCAAAGATTCTTGAAGGCCCCAGAGAAACCTGGAGGTATTTTTTGATTGCAGAAGTAGTCTAGGGTTATGTTCATGAAAGGCGATGAAGAAATGCATTCATGCTTCAATTTTGTGTTCAGACTAGAATTCCACCATGGTCTCTGCAACTACAGAACAGCAGAACATCAAGCTGCTTATTTTGGAGGAGAGAGGTGTCACAGAAAATATACAAGTTTGCTTTCAGCCTGGGCAGTAAGCTTGACTTCAAGGGAAAGTTAGTCTGAGTTAGGGACTACAGCTCAGAGCCTATAGGCAGTCATGGATGAGATCCAAGACTCAGTTAATCTACGATCTTATCTGTGTTTATGGCAAATAAATGGATAAAGAAATAATGTAAAGAGCAGGAAAGCAAAAGCGATCCAGTTCCCAGCTTGCCTTCAGTGTATTTGACTGGTTTTGTGGAATCTGATTTTGTTGCAACTGGAAGAGCTTGTGTATCCCATTCCCAGATGTTTTTACTGTTCAAAAATGTCTCAAATTCCTTCTCAAAAAAAGAAAAAATTTTATAATATGGTAATTTTAAATTGAAAATTGGTTTGTCTCAGCAAGCTGCCAAGACCAAAAATATAAAAGCTCAGGAAGAAGGTAGGCGATAGGTGCCTGAAAATGAAATTGGGTATTTTCCTCTTCTTTCTTCCATCTTACAAGAAAAACTGAGTCATTTAATCATTCTCTCGACCTTTATATCATTGGCCTTTCAGGCCAAAGATTTCAAGGCTTGGTGATATTTCCCCATAGGGAAACCCTCCCATCCTTCTGATAACTTTCACCACCATCTCATTCAAATTTCTAGTCTTGCTAGGCAATATTGCTACTGCAGGACAAGAGCATGACACAGAACTTCATTTTTTCAAAAATTCTCATTTCCGTTTATCCCTGCAGATCAGGAGGCTGAGACACAAGGCTTGATTTAGCCAAATTCAATAGCAGAGAAGGAAATAGAAAGAATTCAGGTTTCCTCTCTTTTAATCAGAAGCCTGAAGCTGTGCCCAGTGTGCCCTGGTCACTAAGCATCTATCTGGCTCTTATGGAAATAATGAATACCAGAGAAAGGCCTGAGGTTATTTAAAACAAACCTCAAAATTTTGTATCTCCCCTTCCCCAGGGTGAGAAACATCTCTCAGGTAAATGCAGTGTGCAAATGTTAAGGAAAACAGTTGGCTAGACCAGATGAGAAATTACTCAGGATACAGAAATTACCTGAAGTGGAATGAAGATGGTGTAGACTCTGGCTGATGGTATAAAATACAACTTCCTTTTATCAGTAACGTGAGTTAGCTGGCACCCTGATTTACATACCTAGGTAGGGTACCTAAAATTCAGCACTGTGCATAACAACGTCTAGGCCATCTTTATGTGACAACATCCTGAGCCCCAGACTCACTAATAATTTCAAACAAAAGTCTTCTGGATGGAGTCCTTGCAGGCCTAAACTGTCTTCTTTTTTTCTTTTTTTCTTTTTTTTTTTCCTTTTACAACCAAAGGAAACAGCTTTAGTTCTATTTAAACAACATATCAGTGATTAGTCTAGGTATGTGCAGCAATGCACACAGATGACCAGTAACAAGTTGAATTTAACCCATTTGTAAGCTGTTATCCTGGGTGAATGGACATTTTGGCATCCTGTTTTGCCCTTCCCATGTCTTGGTAGTATATTTGTAATGCACTATTGAATTTCAGTAGAATTTTTTTAATCGCCTTTTTAACAATATATAATTATTGTTGACAGCAAACCAACTAGAAGAAACACTTCTAGATTAATTAACAGTGACCTATAATTAAACTCTGCAGTACTTAGAGATGGAGTGGTCCCTAGATAATATTGCCTTAGTTTTAATGAGTGTTTATCATTCTTGTTTGCTTCCCCTGTGGCAGTTATCAAGGTTAGTTACAAAATTTCTTAATTAAATGAAACTGCATAGAAGGTACTGCCTTAGCAGAAAACAGCTTGAAATATTAATGATTTAAGCATAATCTCAAAGTATGCAAACTCCTGCCCTACAAATTTTTAATCATAGTTTACCTGTAGAGCTCAATCTTTCCCTTAAGTCATATCTTGACACTAAAAACAGTGCCATATTTTAGGATTGTTCTTGTTCCTTTATCTCTGAAAGATAAGAATGTGTAATTAAATGTCTGCCTTCCCCAACGTGTGAATGGCTCAAAAATACAATTTTATATGAAAGCTTTGATACAGGATTTCTGATTCCTGGCCCAGGCTTCACTAACCAGTTTCTAGAGTAATTAAGTAAATCTCTTTATTGCACATTTTCAAAATCTAGTCTGACAAATTAGATTCCTAATGGAATTAAAGGATCACATTCCTACCAAATTCCATATGGAGTTTGGTACTCAGAGTGCTCTAGGAAATAATCTGCCTTTCACCTATTCCAAATTCTCCAGAAATGGCAGATTCCACCACCCTGAGAAAAATTCTCTTTGCTTCCAATTGTTGCAGATTTAAAGCTGAAGTAACTAAAAATAAGGTAACATATGGGGGGAGCTTCATCTTTCAAATATAACATGCATATAAATGTTTGCTAAAGTTTACCTGGTTCACACAAGTACTACTTCTATGATTACACTATATACAATATGATTATTATATGTAAAACATGTAAAGACAGATATTGGTACTTCTAAAGAACTATCCTTATATAATAATAAAGTTTTCTTCAGTAGAAATCCTAATCATTAACTGTTGCTTTGTATTGTGCTGCTGGCAAGGTATTTTTAATTTGTTTTGTTGGAACAATAAAACAATGTGCATGGAAGTTTATACATTGGGAAAAAAAGAAAATCTTGTCTTGTCCCAGCCCAGTCTGCACAGTAGCTGGTCTGAGTTGTTAAAATCAGACAATCTAGGAAAGCGAGGGAGGTTACCATTGTTTAAATCCTAAGTAAAAATAGAATACTGATTGGGTTCAAATGAAGGTTGCTCTTAAAGTAACTTGTGCTTACAGATGCTTGCTGCCAGTCTAGATACCTCTTACGTTAAAGCACTTGGACAAAAAATTTTGAGGGGAGAGACCGCTAGAAACGCCTACCTGATAGCATTTTCAGGTGTAAAGCAACAATAAAAAAGTTACTGGAAAATAAAAGGGTGAGTATGGAACACTTACACTTGCCAATATGTAACTGGAATAGTTATCTGTGAAACTGGAGCAGAGCTGTTTGAACAGTGTGTGTATTCAGTCACTGCCAATTCGTGGCCTAGTTAGAGCTGTGTGCTTGACACACCATTTCCCACCACTTTCTCTTTTCCTCCCACCATGCAGCACTTTCCCTGCCCCAGTCACAGTTTGGCATCAGATTGTGCCAGCCCTGCTGCAATTTACTGCTGAGTCATCTCTTCACCACTGTCACTGAACATCATCATCACTGCTCCGATGGGAATATTCCAACAGCAGCCTTGTGGTAGAGGAAGGGAGAGGGGATTGCAAGACACGGGTGGTGGAGGAGCTGAGCACTGTACGTTCTTTCAGGAGCAAGCTATCTTAAGGAGGTCCCCTGGGGTTCGTGGTCACTGGTTTGGAGACAGCACAATTATCTCTCCCTGTGCTCACGTGCCATTCCTCCAGAATGCCCCAAGGATCAGTGCTCAAAGGCAGTGGGAACTAAAAGAGACTCCTGTTGTTTATCATGGTGCTGTTGAAGTCTTCTGGGGCTGACAGATGCCGCTCCAGAAGGTTAATAAGATGAAGAAAGCTCTTCCAGCTGGACCGTAAGAGGGATTATGTCTGAGCAGCAGCTAAACAGATTATTCCAGAAACAGACACTGCTTTTTTTTAAAACTTCGTCACCCTTGTCTTACCACTCCAGTTCCCCAGGCTAGAAGTGTGGGCGTTGGAGGGGTTTGCCCAGCTCTTGCACTCTGGCCCCTGTTGCACTCTGCCTAGGTGCAGTTCAATGCAGTCCAAGGCTGGAGACACCTGAAAAATAAAGATATTTGGGGATTTTTGTTCTCTAAGAAAACGGAATTCTTCTACTCAACCAAAATATTCTTGTTTCCTGCATGACTGGTCTTGAAAACTGTGAATGATCAATAGACAGCATGCATTTGAAGACTGGATTAATATTTTTGATCATTTGCCTTGCTCTCCAAGTTCAGGGAAGCAGAGGTAAGTTCATATATTAAAGGTTTAGGTTAATTTTACTTTGCATATGTTGAAAAAAAAATATTTTCAAGATCAAGGGCTTTCATATTACAGAATTATTAGTTCAGAATGTGGTGTTTTGACAATTCAGCTAGAGACACGATGGTTAATGATACTGCCATAAAGCTGAAAAAGGAAATATTGGCATTATTCCTTATGTGCATTTTGCAGATTTTAAAATATCTGTAAGAGATGCATTTATCTTCATTTTAGCAGAACACGTTCTGTTATGCAAAAATATCTGTGAGACAAATATATGGAAAGTGAAAAAGGCTGAAAGAACATTGAAGTGTTGACGTGGTTAAAGACGGTCTTTCATCACTGAAATTAAGAGAAAGTAGCAAAATATATCTGCATTTACTAGTGAAGAACTTATTCTGATTATTAAAAACAACTTCAAAAACTTCTGGATAGACAAATTCTGCAAGAATATACCATATGGCCAAATATACAAAAAATGGCAATACCAGTAAGGATTAATGTAATAACTACAAAATTATTTGCAAGAAAATAGAAACACACTGAACTGCTCTGTACTTAGTGCATCAGCTAACTATTGCTCTATTTAAAATCATTTAAAAGTTCACAACATTTATAAAGCTACTTCAATGACAAAAAAGAAAAGATGTTGATGTGATTTTCCCTGGTTAGTCCCATATTTAAAAGATGTAGAGCTTTGGGGAATGCATTTAATTTTGGAGGCGGTTTCTCTCATTAGCTTTTCCATCTATGCTTTAATATTTGCACAACTGAATTAAAAGCTAACATTACAACTGCTATGTGTGCTCAAGTCAATGACCTTCTATTTTTATGTCAGGCCTGTTAATTAAATGTAAAGAATGTAAAATTATAAAAGATAAGTCTCCTCAACATTATCTAAATGTTTATTAGGGAGACAGTATGAAATATAACCTGCTGTCAATACTATTTGGAAAGTTTTGTTTACACATTTGGGTTTTCTTAAGAAACTTCTGCTTTTCTTAAAGAAATACAGAAACCCAGTTCTTGTATCTCAGTTAAATTAAGTAAATCTTCGCTAGCAGACAATTAAATACTGAAAAAGTCCTTGGGAAAACATATAGTTAAGCACTAGAATTATGTTTTGCGGCTCTTTAATTTTACTTTTTGATTCTATGCAAATTGTTTCATATAATCACAAATGATGTTTTGGAAATGTGGCAAAAAATGAGAGAATGATGATATTTCACGTCTGACAAGAAAACGAGTTTTATTAAGATGCATTGTTTTTGTATTTAAATTGCATAGTCTGTGATGGAAAGAGACAGAATGAATTCAGGCTATTCACGCATGCTTGATGGCATTTGTTGCAGCCCCTATTTATAATTACAACTTAGAAAGCAGTAGTGGTAAAAGCGGTGTCCCATAGTTTCACCAATTGCAAATTGTATGTTACAATATACTTTCCATAAAAGACCAGCAAAATGATGGGGGGCTATCTTGACAGAGAGGCATACTAAATAACTGTAAATATTCCTTGCCACCAGTTCTCTAAAGTGCATGTGGTATATGTATAATGATAACTTTTTTTTTTTTTTACTTTTAGTCATTCCATACATAATATTTTTAAACTATTTGATTTCAAATATATGCACACAGATCTCAAAACACTTAATGCTTGTGTTAAGAAACTTCTTTAGCAGAGCAGAGATGCTTCCAGAGCTGTTATTTTATGACTTAGCATTAGAGTGAGATACTTACAGAAAATATTTTTTTCAAGTATATAGGGTCTCCAACTAGTCTGAATATTTGCATGAATCACTCATTAGGGCTCCTAACAGAGATGTCTTGAGACCTTTGTGGTCATTCAAATTTGCAGTACATGTAAACTGTGAAGGACTAGGAAATGAGAGACTAAGATATAAAACAGCTCCATCTTAAACAAAAAAAAAATTAGAGATAATTTCTAAATATTTAAAGGTTTAGTCAGTTGATGAAAAACTAAAATTCAAATTCTTTACTTTCTCATATAAATATTTATATTTAACAAAAAGTGGGTTAGTATGGAGCTTGCTTAGCAACTTTTGGGGTTTTGGTGATTTTTTGGTCCTTCCTCCCTGTCCCTATTTAAGGATCCATAGAGTCCTCCCAGGCATTTGGAGGCTCTCCAGGAGCACCTCCAATTCCACAGTAAACAAAATTTTGTAGTAGACTACAAAATTCCCGTAGTTTTCTCTACAGGAAACTGTAGAGGGCAAAGTAAGAGTTACGTTGTTTAACTTTGGCCATAATTTTGCCACTGTCCTGACAAAAATTGTCTCATGGAAAAATCTCATGGAAAGGGAAAGTGAGAGGGATAAAAACTTTGTGACAGCAAAAAAAAAATCTGTGCACAAAATCTGGATAGTAAACTACTGAACAGCCAGAGTAAATACCAAAATGCAGTGGGGCTTTGAACTCTCAAAGCCATTCCTTGATGCTGGGTACATCCTAGCATTTGATACTGAGAACGGGGGGCCAGAGTGCGTTCAAGGCTGTTTTATGGCATTTTTTTGTTCAGCAAGAAAATATCTGCTGTTTACTCAGCCATTCCTTAGGACACAAAGGCTTTGTGTGTGCTCTATGAAATCATTTTAATTCATTCTGACTCACCCCTTCCCGCTAGGCTGTTCTAATTCAGCAGGAAATGTTTCAGATCTTCATTACTATAATTGTCCCCCCAAATGAAAAAAAAAATTAAAAAAAGTTTAAGTAAATTTGTGCAAAAGGAAAAGGAAAATCACAGAATATCAAGGATTTTGCATTAAGATTATCTTCTACTCTCATCCATAAAATAAGAATTCACATGTTAAAGTTGGCTTCCCTGATTGGGCTTATAGACTTATGAAAATATTTTTCCTTTTTTCTCTCCTTTCTGAAACAAATGTAACATTGCACTATATATGGGATTTGATCTTTTCTGTCTTCTGGCTGAAAGCCAAACTTTAATATAAATACTAGACCATTGTCACTGAATCCTAAAGATTAATTCCAGAAATAGTCACACCTGTGCCATAGGGATCAGTGAACTGCATGTGAATGAACAGCAAGATATGTGGGCTTTTTCTCAGAAAACACCTGTGGACAAGATGATCAATATTAATAATCAAAAGTTTTCTCCATCTACAGGACATTAATTTACAGGCGACAATAAAATAACTGGGAGTCGTAACCTAGAAATCCAGATGGTTCTTGTTCATTTCTCAGCTAATTTTGGAGTCTTTGTGGTTTAATCAGTGACATGGACAACACCCATCACATAGCAAACATGGTGTTTTCTTTCCAAAAGACAGTTTTTCTTCCCCAAAGGAAAATTCTGCATGCATTCTATTGCATTTTGATGCCTTGAAATATCTTAAATATGTTTTCCTTCTTTTTTTACCTCTGTCCAACCTAGTCCTTTTGGGATTAAAATTAGTCTTCTGATCATTCTCTGTCATATAATTCTTCCATATTAATCAGGAATTAGGTGCACTGTCTTGTAAATTCCATGAGGTTTGTACTTTGTAAGGCCAACTGTATTTCAATTTCTTCCCCTTCAGAATGTGCGATATTGAATAACACACTTCTTAAAAAGAAACATCTATCTGCTTTCACATACATGTCTGCTGACATTTAGTCAGTCAGCTGCGATTTACTAGACAGAGACTTCAGAACAGTAACCTGTCTGGAAAACATAAGAGTAACAATCATCTGGGAGTACCCTGACACCTGCAAACCAGTAGGACCCAGGCTCACAGCTACATAACTAATTGTATTTAGGCCACCACGATTGTCTTTGCGTTGCTGAGGTTCTACTGGCTTCTAAAGTTCTGCTTCAGTGCAGACCCAAGATTATCTTCTTTCTGGCCTCTCAAATGTTTCAAAACCTCCCTCAGACTTTACCCAACTTTATACTGACAATCTTGGTACCTCTGTTAGCTGAAATACCAGTTTTAGTGGCTGTGTTGCAGGTATACCTTTGATAAATATGACTCAGCACAGATCATAGAAACCCCAGCAGTTTCTGGCATTGAACAGCAATGCACTCATCTCTAATTTTGTGATTTCATGGTGATGGCACAAAATGAAGACATTTCTATTCAAGTTCTTTTCCCTCTCCTCCCTCAAAACCAGATGAATAAGTTTTCATGCTTAGATCAAGAATTGGATTAGGTGTCCTCCAAACCAAACCTGGTCTATGCAGCTTGATACATAACGAAGTTAAGTAAGGTTAAGTGCAAGTCATGCTCTGTCAAAGCAAGGTGTAGTCAATTAGCCAGAGACCATAGATTGTACTGCAGAATGAGTGACCCCAAACTGTGAGGAAAATTGGCCAGTTCCAATTACACAAGCTGAAGTAAAGAGATGACACTGGGGCTTCTGGCACCTTTTCATACAGCAGACATCATGTTATCATATGTGAATACAGTTACCTCAATAAACCCATTCTGCACTGCAGCTCTTTGACTCATACCATCAAAACTGTTGAAATGTTGATATACATGGCAAAGCACCACTGGAACTTGGACTTATGCTGTCTCACTGACTTTCTCAGATAAACCTGACTTCTGAAAATGACTGATCAGAAAACTGAGAGCAGAGGTGCTCAACTGAGTGTTTTATCACTGCAGGTTGGATGCATCCTTCCAAGAACTAACATTTAAGGCATTTTCTTGCATCCTTTGATATCATATCCATATCAATTAATAGAACAGCCTTTCAGGTCAAATGCTTCTAAGATGGCAAAAAAAAATAGAAATAGATACATGTTTTATACATGGACATTAAAACCAGTCACTCTTCAGTGCTGTTTCTCATCCAGGTTCTGGAATTTAAGCAGACTGTTGCAAGATTCACAAACTGGCAATGAAAGCCTTTGATACTTTTTATTAATTCCAGCAGCAGAAGTGAGCACAGTTGACGAATAAAAATTTTCACCTTTCTGTCTGAAAGAGAATGTAAGAATTTCTACCTTTAATGAGACA